ATATATATATATATACCTGGAGTTTACCTGGAGAGAGTTTCGGGGGTCAACGCCCCCGCGGCCCGGTCTGTGACCAGGCCTCCTGGTGGATCAGCGCCTGATCAACCAGGCTGTTGCTGCTGGCTGCACGCAAACCAACGTACGAGCCACAGCCCGGCTGATCAGGAACTGCCTTTAGGTGCTTGTCCAGTGCCAGCTTGAAGACTGCCAGGGGTCTGTTGGTAATCCCCCTTATGTGTGCTGGGAGGCAGTTGAACAGTCTCGGTCCCCTGACACTTATTGTATGGTCTCTTAACGTGCTAGTGACACCCCTGCTTTTCATTGGGGGGATGGTGCATCGTCTGCCAAGTCTTTTGCTTTCGTAGTGAGTGATTTTCGTGTGCAAGTTCGGTACTAGTCCCTCTAGGATTTTCCAGGTGTATATAATCATGTATCTCTCCCTCCTGCGTTCCAGGGAATACAGGTTTAGAAACCTCAAGCGCTCCCAGTAATTGAGGTGTTTTATCTCCGTTATGCGCGCCGTGAAAGTTCTCTGTACATTTTCTAGGTCGGCAATTTCACCTGCCTTGAAAGGTGCTGTTAGAGTGCAGCAATATTCCAGCCTAGATAGAACAAGTGACCTGAAGAGTGTCATCATGGGCTTGGCCTCCCTAGTTTTGAAGGTTCTCATTATCCATCCTGTCATTTTTCTAGCAGATGCGATTGATACAATGTTATGGTCCTTGAAGGTGAGATCCTCCGACATAATCACTCCCAGGTCTTTGACGTTGGTGTTTCGCTCTATCTATATATATATATATATATATATATATATATATATATATATTATTATTTTTTTTTTTTTTTATTATCACACCGGCCGATTCCCACCAAGGCAGGGTGGCCCGAAAAAGAAAAACTTTCACCATCATTCACTCCATCACTGTCTTGCCAGAAGGGTGCTTTACACTACAGTTTTTAAACTGCAACATTAACACCCCTCCTTCAGAGTGCAGGCACTGTACTTCCCATCTCCAGGACTCAAGTCGGCCTGCCGGTTTCCCTGAATCCCTTCATAAATGTTACTTTGCTCACACTCCAACAGCACGTCAAGTATTAAAAAACCATTTGTCTCCATTCACTCCTATCAAACACGCTCACGCATGCCTGCTGGAAGTCCAAGCCCCTCGCACACAAAACCTCCTTTACCCCCTCCTCCAACCCTTCCTAGGCCGACCCCTACCCCGCCTTCCTTCCACTACAGACTGATACACTCTTGAAGTCATTCTGTTTCGCTCCATTCTCTCTACATGTCCGAACCACCTCAACAACCCTTCCTCAGCCCTCTGGACAACAGTTTTGGTAATCCCGCACATATATATATATATATATATATATATATATATATATATATATATATATATATATATATATATATATATGTTAAAAGATAAAGAATCACACACAGGGTGGGAGTTGTCACAGCTGCTCTTTGCTGATGACACTGTGCTCTTGGGAGATTCTGAAGAGAAGCTGCAGAGATTGGTGGATGAATTTGGTAGGGTGTGCAAAAGAAGAAAATTAAAGGTGAATACAGGAAAGAGTAAGGTTATGAGGATAACAAAAAGATTAGGTGATGAAAGATTGAATATCAGATTGGAGGGAGAGAGTATGGAGGAGGTGAACGTATTCAGATATTTGGGAGTGGACGTGTCAGCGGATGGGTCTATGAAAGATGAGGTGAATCATAGAATTGATGAGGGAAAAAGAGTGAGTGGTGCACTTAGGAGTCTGTGGAGACAGAGAACTTTGTCCTTGGAGGCAAAGAGGGGAATGTATGAGAGTATAGTTTTACCAACGCTCTTATATGGGTGTGAAGCATGGGTGATGAATGTTGCAGCGAGGAGAAGGCTGGAGGCAGTGGAGATGTCATGTCTGAGGGCAATGTGTGGTGTGAATATAATGCAGAGAATTCGTAGTTTGGAAGTTAGGAGGAGGTGCGGGATTACCAAAACTGTTGTCCAGAGGGCTGAGGAAGGGTTGTTGAGGTGGTTCGGACATGTAGAGAGAATGGAGCGAAACAGAATAACTTCAAGAGTGTATCAGTCTGTAGTGGAAGGAAGGCGGGGTAGGGGTCGGCCTAGGAAGGGTTGGAGGGAGGGGGTAAAGGAGGTTTTGTGTGCGAGGGGCTTGGACTTCCAGCAGGCATGCGTGAGCGTGTTTGATAGGAGTGAATGGAGACAAATGGTTTTTAATACTTGACGTGCTGTTGGAGTGTGAGCAAAGTAACATTTATGAAGGGATTCAGGGAAACCGGCAGGCCGGACTTGAGTCCTGGAGATGGGAAGTACAGTGCCTGCACTCTGAAGGAGGGGTGTTAATGTTGCAGTTTAAAAACTGTTGTGTAAAGCACCCTTCTGGCAAGACAGTGATGGAGTGAATGATGGTGAAAGTTTTTCTTTTTCGGGCCACCCTGCCTTGGTGGGAATCGGCCAGTGTGATAATAAAATAATATATATATGTATATATATATATATATATATATATATATATATATATATATATTATATATATATATATATATATATATATATATATATATATATATATACATACTTACATACATACATAATATTCTTCCTCGAAGCCTTTTTATCTACTTCTCCGAGCATAAACACACACACACACACATGAAGAGGCGGGGCCAGGAGCTGTGACTCTACTCTTGCAACCACATATTGGTGAGTAAACATGATAACGACATAAAATACTGAGGAATCGACAGGGTGAACAGGGACAAAACGTTTGAGATGGGATACAGGAACAAGAGGACATAACTGGAAACTGAAAAGTCAGATGAGTCATAGGGATGTTAGGAAGTATTTCCTCAGCCTTAGAGTTAACAGAAAGTGGAATAGTCTGATGAGTGAAGTGGTAAAGGCGAGATCCATACATAGCTTTAAGAAGAGGTACAGTAAGGCATATAACCCGCACATAGAAGAGAGGAGCTTACGATGACGTTTCGGTCCGACTTGGACCAGTGTGAGTTTGTAAATGGTCCACGTCGGACCGAAACGTCGTCGTAATCTCCTCTCTTCTATGTGTGGGTTATTTGTGTATCGTCCCAGTCACGGTATTGTGCCTTTTTTTGTTATTTATAATAAGGCTCTTGGAGCAAGGAGAGAGAGTGGACCTAGTAGCGACCAGCGAAGAGGTGGGGCCAGGAGCTGTGAATCGACCCCTGCAACCACAAATAGGTGAGCACACACACACAAACCCTGCTCCTCCCAGGAAGTTTGGCAAGGCTGACGGAGCGTGGGAAGGTGGCTACCCTCCCCCTCTCTCTCCACTAAGAACCAGCCATCTTCAACCAATAAAGAAGTTTCAATGTATATGCGGGTGTATATGGTGTATCAATGTGTTTGATGCGGGTGTAAATAGAAGTTACAGTGTACGTATATACTTCACTCATAATGCATGCCAATAAACAAATGGTATATACCTGAGTAGTTTAATATGTTTATTATGCACCCCATACCCATCCTGTGGGCGGTAGTCAAAAGATTACAGAGGTACATAATTGGTCCAGGGACTGGACTCCAAAGTTTTGATAGCTGAGCAAGCTACAGAGGTAATGAACTCACAATTTACAAAGGTAATGAACTCACGATTTACAAAGATAATGAACTCCAGGTAGGTCTGGTCACAATCATGACAAGTTACAAAGGTATTTACAGATTACAGAGGTGCGTAATGGGTCCAGGGACTGGGCCCCCAAAGTTTTGATAGCTGAACTAGGTACAAAGGTAATGAGCTCACAAGTTACAAAGGTAATAAACGTATACCTGAATATACAATGGAAATAAGTCACTTCGTCTCTTAGGTTATCCTAGGTAATTTACACATATGTTACTATGTATCATAATTGTATTTATGTGTACCTGTACCTAAATCAACATACAGGTGAGATTATACTCGTGGACCACCACAGTGGTGGACGGAAGACCTCAGAGAAGTGACCTAACCTAACATCATATAACTAAGACCAGCATCAACATATATGTTAATATTCCTTCTGAAGAGCACACCACACATTACAACCGCCCGCACTAAACTTGTACCATCACTTACTGCCATCACACCGCCCACTCCTGCCATCATACCGTCCATTCCTGCCATCATACCGCCCACTCCTGCCATCATACCGTCCATTCCTGCCATCATACCGCCCACTCCTGCCATCACACCGCCCACTCCTGCCATCATACCGCTCATTCCTGCCATCATACCGCCCACTCCTGCCATCACACCGCCCACTCCTGCCATCATACCGTTCATTCCAGCCATCATACCTCCCATTCCTGCCATACCGCCCATTCCTGCCATCATACCGCCCATTCCTGCCATCTGTACCTCACACTCCTGCCACAACACCGCCCACTCCATCTGTACCGCACATTCCTGCCACTACACCGGCCACTCCATCTGTACCACACATTCCTACCATGACACCGCCCACTTCTGCCACCGCCCACTCCACCCACCCACTACAAGCTAGATAAAGTCACCAACTTGTTGCCACTTTCTCTCTGCCAGATGAATAAGTTTGACCAACGCGGCCACTGACACAGTTACCACAGTAAGTCACTGTTAGTGACGGTGTTTTATCAGAAGAAACGGAAATCAGAAATGGAAATCAGCCATCATAATCAGTCAGCATCTTGACAGTTGTAATGACAGTCATATGGGCAACTGACTAAAGCTTCAAGTCCAAATCTTGCAGTTTTTTCTCTACAACTCTATTGCCAAAGCAGCACCCAACTCTGTTTTCTAAATCTAAGTGTGAGAATAACCTTATTGGTATCCTGACATAAAGTTATATATAATAACATAAGAAAGGAGGAACACTGCAGCAGACCTGTTGGCCCATACTAGGCAGGTCCTTTACAATCAATCCCACTAACAAAACATTTACCCAACCAAATTTTCAAAACTACCCAAGAAATAAGCTCTGAACTTACCGAGTGACTAACGATGGGTTGAGGTGTAACAACCTCGTATGGTGTAGTTTAGGCCTTCACCTCAGCCTATACCATGACTTCCTGCGCCTCCTCTTCTCCCACTTCTCCAAAAATGCTTATGTACTTTTTCTCAGTTCCCTTTTCTGTTTTTTTTGTACTTGTAAATTAATAGGCTTTATAGCAAACGTACACATTAATTTTAATTATATATATATATATATATATATATATATATTATATATATTATATATATATATATATATATATATATATATATATATATATATATATATATATATATATACATACATACATATATAAATGAAATTTACCACTATTTTATTCATGGAGAACCGATAAAACCCATTCTGACCATACAGTGCCTAGCGAGGCACTCAGGTTTGGTTCGAGGAAGAGGATGGTAGCTCCAGTTTCTTGGATCAAGAGCCTTTATGAGCACCCAGGCTCTCCCATCTCTCCTTAAGTCTTTTATATGACTGAAATTCGTGACTTGTTTAAATACCCTTGATGTAATAAACTGAGTTGTATTAACTCAGCTGGTGTAAACTAATCTTTAGTTAACTCAGCTGGTGTAAACTAATCTTTAGTTAACTCAGCTGGTGTAAACTAATCTTTAGTTAACTCAGCTTGTGTAAACTAATATTTAGTTAACTCAGCTTGTGTAAACTAATATTTAGTTAACTCAGCTGGTGTAAACTAATATTTAGTTAACTCAGCTGGTGTAAACTCATCTTTAGTTAACTCAGCTGGTGTAAACTAATCTTTAGTTAACTCAGCTTGTGCAAACTAATCTTGTTAACTCAGCTGGTGTAAACTAATCTTTAGTTAACTCAGCTGGTGTAAACTAATCTTTAGTTAACTCAGCTGGTGTAAACTAATCTTGTTAACTCAGCTTGTGCAAACTAATCTTGTTAACTCAGCTGGTGTAAACTAATCTTTAGTTAACTCAGCTGGTGTAAACTAATCTTTAGTTAACTCAGCTTGTGCAAACTAATCTTGTTAACTCAGCTGGTGTAAACTAATATTTAGTTAACTCAGCTGGTGTAAACTAATCTTTAGTTAACTCAGCTGGTGTAAACTCATCTTTAGTTAACTCAGCTGGTGTAAACTAATCTTTAGTTAACTCAGCTGGTGTAAACTAATCTTTAGTTAACTCAGCTGATGTAAACTAATCGTCATTATTTTTTCCCTGGGTCCATTATCAAGTTTTTCCAGCGCCTCAACAGTTGGTATTATCTTCACCTTTCTTGCGTGTGGCCTCAGTAGTTATGTGTCTATAATAAACTTGTATCACACACATCGGCCATAACTAAAACACATCAGATAACACAAGAAAAAAGTATATAAAAGTGTGAGAGGCGTGAAGCACACGTCCACACTCCATGAAGGCCAGGCCAGCACTGCCTCTTCCTCCAGCCTCACCCTGTTTATATACCTTCATGGACCTTTCTATTTGTTATTTCATTAACACGTCAATTACACTCCTTTACAGGGGTCATGTGAGCTCTAGCGACAGTGCCATATCATGTGCCACCTCATGGGTGTCAACATAACAGTGACAGGCCCCAAAAATACCACACGGACACACAGCCTCTTCCACCCATGAAGTTCCAGCTGTACAAACAGTGAAGGAATTCATTGTAAGACTATTTAGACACAGATACACATAAGTACAATTATCATACATAGTATAAATTACCCAGGATAACCCCAAAAAGCCAGACAAAGTGGTTCATTTCCATTGGGGTCCTTATAATATCTTACTATTCAAGCCTTGAAAGTTAAAACAACTAATAATTCTTGTCTGTCATGGGTGGTATCATCATCTCTGTGAGCAGACACACTAAGCATGACAGTGTTTCTTTAGTCATAGAGTTGTCAGGAAGTGGAATAGTCTGGCAAGTGATGTAGTGGAGGCAGGAACCATACATAGTACGAGGTTTGATAAAGCTCATGGAGCAGGGAGAGAGAGGACCTAGTAGCAATCAGTGAAGAGGCGGGGCCAGGAGCTATGAATCGACCCCTGCAACCACAAATAGGTGAGTACCGTGAGAGTGTAGGTAAGGTGGTGTAGTGTGTGTGACACTAGTGCCAGAGGGTGACACAGAGCACCACTGTAGTATAAATATCACCCCCCTCCCTCCTGGCCTTACCTGGACACAGTATAGAAAACGTGAGGCTTGTTGCACTGCCTACCTTTACCAGGGCTCTTGATCCAGGGAATTGTAGCTATATTATTATTATTATTATTATAATAAAACAAGAAGCGCTAAATAATTGTAGCTATAATTTCCTGGATCGAATCTGATTGGTTCATTTCCCAAAAATCCTTTATGATCCCTGTGGGTCATACATTTATGACCCCTGAAGGTCATATGCAGTTCTATGACCCCTGTGGGTCATACACTGCTTTATAACCCCTGAGGGTTATACACTGCTTTATGACCCCTGAGGGTCATACGCAGTTTTATGGCCCCTGTGGGTCATACACTGCTTTATGACCCCTGAGGGTCATACACTGCTTTATGACCCCTGAGGGTCATACACTGTTTTATGACCCCTGAGGGTCATACACTGCTTTATGACCCCTGAGGGTCATACACTGCTTTATGATCCCTGTGGGTCATGCAGTAGAGCGCAGATCAGGGCTCTCAATCTACCAGACTCCTTCCACCAGGGTATTATATTTATGGGAAAGCATTAAACTCTCAGGGGTCATACAGCTACTGGGGAATGGGAGGCAATCAGGTTCGGTCAAAGGGAAGGGCAGATTCAATTCCTTGGATCAAGATCCCCTCAGCTTGATGAAGACACCTTAAAGGGATTATTATCACATACAAAACTAAGCACCAAACCCGGGCCTTAAAGGGAAGACTCAGTAGGAACGTCACCTAAACCGACAACTTCATTCTTTGTCTACTTAGTCCCATGGCCTGGTAGACAACGCTCTCGCCTCACACACTGAGTGTCCGTGGCTCAATCCCCGGCATTGGTGGAAACATTGGGCGTGTTTCCTTACACTTGCTGTCTCTGTTCACCTAGCAGTAAGTAGGTACCTGGGTGTTAATCGACTGGAATGCGTGGCATCCTGGGGAAGAAGACTTAAGGACCACGATGAAAATAAGAGACAATCCTAAATGACGCACTGACATTCTTGGGTTATCCTGGGTGGTTAACCCTCCCGGTTAAAAATCCCAACAAAATCTTATCTGTTGTTCAGACTTATTGCTTATGTGACAGCCCAATAAGTCTCTGGAGACGCCACACCTTGATTGACCTATCTCGATGACACACATCTTCATTATTATAATCATGGCAAAGCGCTAAACCCATAAACCCACCCTCTTCAACATCAATACTTTTCTTTATTATTACATCCATGGGGAGCACCAAACCCATAGGGGTCATATATTGTCTCGGGGGAATGATAGACGTTTAGGCTTGATTCAAGGAATTGGATTATTATTATTATTATTATAATCAAGGGGGAAGCGCTAAACCCGGAGGATTATACAGCTCAAGGAATTGGAGCATTGGTCCAATACGGTATATCAAGAGCCCCTCACCAACATCAAGGAACCTTCTTCGAGGGGCTTTATTACTTTAAAACATACTGGGAAGTTACAATGGATGGATTAGTAACTTGTTCAGTTACATTATTATAATCATCGGGGAGCGCTAAACCCGTATAGATTATACAGCGCCTGTAGGGGGGGGGATGGAAGGTGTTCAGGGATCAGGAGCACCGATCCAATTCCCTAGATCAAGAGCTTTCACCAGCATCAAGGAACCTCCCTTGAGGGGTGTTCAGTTACATATCTGATAGTTGAGGTTACATTACTTATGCTATTATTCAAAGAAAACAAGTTAAGCGTGCCTCAAGGAAATTATTATAATCAAGGGGGAGCACTAAACTCGTAGGATTATGCAGCTGTTTCAAGGAAAATCCCTTTGTTATGTGAAACATTTCAGACCAACTAATTCAACACTTCACAACTATATTTCGTCAAAATTTGTATTTAACTGTGGCTAAGAAAGTTTGACGTGTCTCAGTTACGTGAACATTATTATTACATTCATGGGGAAGCACTGAACTTGGGTAATGGGAGGCAATCGGGTTCAATCCAATGAGAATATATATTTTAATCAGGGTAAAGCACTAAACTCGTGGTGGTCGTCTAGACAAAGTATGTGAATACAAATAAAATTTTGTGTATTAAGAGCCGTTACCAGCATCAAAGCACCTCCTTGTGTTGTCATTCCTGGTGTCTGGACACTTCTCCATGACATCTGGCTCTATTGTTTCTATTATTATTATCACAACAATCAGATCTAAGCACTAAACCCACTAGGGTCATACAATGCTGGTATTATTTGCACAGTTACTACATTCATGGGGATGGAATGCTAGGCACATAGGAGTCATACACTTAGGAGGAAATCAGGTTTGATCCAAAGACAGGAAAATCAGGTCCAAGGATCCTTCACATGACTGGCTTCAAACTAATTTCATTGCAGTCAGGAGATCGCATTATTATAATAAAAATGAAGTGCTAAACCTACAAGTGTCATACATTGCGGTGGGGCAGGAGATAGTGCAGGATTATAGAGTAGCAAGGGTGGATTATTATTATAATCAAGGGGGAAGCGCTAAACCCGGAGGATTATACAGCGCCTGGGGGGGGGGATGTGGAAGGCATTCAGGCTTAATTCGGGGAACTGGAGCACAGATCCAATTCCCTAAATCAAGAGCCCCTCACCAACATCAAGGAACCTTCCTTGAGGGGAGCAAGGGTGGAGTGGACAACAGAGCGAGTTAGAAAGTAAGGGCATTAGAGTGATCGGGGGATCACAATGGTATGCAACTGACAAAATCTACTGAGGTTTCAATCTCGTAGCAAGAAAATGTGGCTGCCCATCGATGCACTTGCAGTCTGTTGGTTGGTTAATGGGGGGTTAAAGTCAACTGACTACATAAGGTTCATTGAATTATTATTATTATTATAATCAAGGGGGAAGCGCTAAACCCGTAGGATTATACAGCGCCCAGGGGAGGGGGGGATGTGGAAGGCATTCAGGCTTAATTCGGGGAACTGGAGCACAGATCCAATTCCCTAAATCAAGAGCCCCTCACCAACATCAAGGAACATTCCATGAGGGGGGGTTCATTGAAGGCTGCAAGTAACCTGTTCATCAAAAATACTTTAATATCCAAAACAGACCAACATGCTCACTTTAACTGTCCTGAGTCATGGCAGTGAAGATATCAGAAGTGAATTGTGCATGCTATCAGAGAGGACAGTCTATTAACCTAAGGCAAACTATTTAAACCACTTGGTAGTCCTCATAGAAGTGCTGGCCTTCTGTCCATATGGTATTCATGAGAGTCATAAGTGATTAATTCATAAATGTGTAAGCCTGGTGTCCCCACACCTGATAGTGATTGGTTTGATGGAAAACAATTTGTTGTCCTCTCTCAGACAAACTCTGGTTGCCAATGTTAAGTCTGTTAGTTACCCTGAACACTGCTGTCCAGAAACCCTGAAAAATAAAAGAAACTGATGGGAAGGCTGAGATATATACTTGGTCCTGCAGTCAGGCTCACCTGATAAGCCCTAAGATAATACAATTTCCATCAGGTCGAGTGATACAATCAATGCAAAACTACCAATGGTAGCTATGTCAGAAGAGAGATAATGGTCCTCCTTTCTATGTGGAGAAATTTTCTCCAGGAGGGGGGGTATCAGCTCCCTTCAGTCCTGAGGGGCCCAGCCCTCTCAGAAGGGGCAAGCATCTTGTTTACTGCTACAGCAAGTAGTTGATCCCAGATGCAATACGAGTATGTGACGTGGTCAAGCGACTGCCGCTCCTTGCAAGAGTCCAGTGTTGCAAAGTGTAGTTTAATATGAGACAGTCCATCTCTTACCTTAGCAGGACAATTAAGGAAAATCCTGCTCCCACTTTATTACCATGGTAAACATAGTGGATATTGTTGTCTATGCTTAAGACAGCAAGAATCAAGCATTCTGCTTTGCTTCATGGAAGAAGTTTGACAAGGAAGCAAAAAGTACTAGGTCAGCTTTTCCTTTATGTTCGAGGGGCACTGCAGCGGCATAGGAGGCTGTGAGGTCAGATTACTTTTCGCCCTACTGGGAGTCACACTGACACCAGGATAACCAACAAAGAACACTGATCCGTGCGTTAGTGTGAACAATGTGTCTCACAAAACACAATAAACACTTACAGGGAAGTGTGATCAGCTTTTTTAGTGATAAGATTGTGAACAATAAAGACAATAAAGTGTACCAGTGTGCGTATTCCTAGACTAGGGAAGACGTGGACATCCAAGGACACTTCAGCTTCTATCAAGTCACCGATACGTGTCGAGGGTGTAAAAA